GGCCGCCCGCGCGGCCGCCTGCTGTGCGTGGACACCACGCAGGCGCTCTGGGCCTTCTTCGCCGTGCGCGGCGGCGCCTCCGGCCAGCTGCGCCTCCTCGGTGAGTCCGCCCCGCCCCACTGCGCCTGCGCGGCCCCGCACCTCCGTGGGCTGCCCTGGTCTCTGCCCCAGCCACGCCCAGGAGCCCCTATCACCATCCGCGCCCCCTGGCTGGGAAAACAACTCTGCAGCCGTACAGCATAGAGCTCCCCATGCATAGGTCTGGGCACACTCCAGAAGTGCCTTCCTGACTAGTCCCCCATTGATGTGGCCCTTAGGCCCTGGGCATACTTGGTAAACCCGTGTCTATGTGGGTAACTGGCTGGTCTGGTTTTTATTTTTGTTCTTACAATCTATTAGTTTTAGGAGACATACGTGATATATATTGAGGGTATGTAGGAAACAAAATAAATTAAGTGACACATGCAGGAGGTCATCAAACAGAGAGGAAGAGAGGCTGCAGCCATCCTATTTGGGATGACTCTTGCCTTTACTCATGCCTAAATAGATAGGGAGAACCCACAAGCTGTGGGCCAGAACCCAGGCTCCGGGTTAGGACCGCCGAAGAACAGGACAACTACCATGCCAGTGTATGAAGGGCCACAGCAGTGGGGCTTCCCCCCTGCGTGGCAGTGTGGGCTGTGGTCAAGGAATCTTCCCAGAGAGTACAGATCCACTGTCAGAGCTCCAGAAGTCAAGGCCAGAAACAGAAAAGGGCAGTTTTCAACATGCTGCCTCACTGCGTGTTACCCTCCCAACGACCTTAGGTTAACATTACCCCCATCTACAGATGGGAATTGAAGCACAGAGAAATGAAACCATGGTCTCAGGCACAGAGCTGTTGGACACCTCACAGCCTTTCCTGAGTCTCAGTTTCCTTTGGGATAGAATAAGAATAATGCCTGCGTCTTAGGGGTGGGGAGAAACAGATAGGGTTCATGCACTGCCTCTGGCAGGTGTCTAACAGCCTTCTTAATTAACCATCCTAGTTGTAGAGCAGTATAGTTATAGAGCAGTTATAGAGAAGCTGAATGAGGGCAAAGGAGCAACAAGGGACCAACTATTAGGAGGTTTTGTTTTTGTTTTAAAGAACTGTCAGATACAATCATCGTTGCAGCCTGAGTTGAGTTTCCCAAGTTCCTGCTGGGGCTTCACAAGGACTAAGCCTAGAGTCATTTTCACGTCACCTCCAGCACTTCCAGAGTAACCAGGAAGAGCCTTGAGTGGTCAGGAAGAAAAAGTAGAAGGGAAGGGAAGGGTTGTTTCTAGGGACCAGCGACTTGTTCCCCTGGTCCCTACCTCAGAGCAGCCCTAGCACTACATTATCTGACCATTCCTCTTCTTGTGGAATAAGGAAAGGGGCCTTTCTGTCCTGAGAAGTAACAGTTATCTAAGTCACTGAACCTGGGGGAGAAAGCTGATCCATGCTGACTACACTAGCAGTCAAGAATCTTAGAGTTTCCAGTGACAAAACCCTATTTTTAGTACTCTAAGCAAAAAAGGGAAATGGGTGGTCACACCTAACTCAGAAGTCTAAGATGGATTCGGGAACAGCTAGATCTAGGTGTTGAAAGGATGCCATCAGGATCCCATCCCTCTTTCCTCCCATCTCTGCTTTCCTGAGTGCCAGGAAGCTTACCTCCCAAGAGAATGAGCCTTTTCTTGGCCAACAGTTGTAGAGAAATTCACAGAATAGATCCTCGGTGGTCTTGGTGGACTTATGTCCTTCCCTGAACCACCCCTGGGACCAAGAAGTAGAAGTTCTTACTGGGCATGTAAGAGTGAAATAGTGCCCCAAAAAACATTCCAGTGGTGTTTCTAAAATAAACAGGAGTGGAAGCCAGGCAGGCAAAGAGCAAATGGACACCCCACTTACATGAGCTCAGCTGTCCTCAGAAAACACTGGGCATGGGTGTGACTCTTGTCCTCTCATTAGCCAGACAGGGAGGCTAAGATGTGAAGCAGTGAAGAATCAGGGGCCAGCAGGGCAAGCCCAGCCTCCTGTTGCCACTCACTGAGTCTCTCTGGGTCTCAGGTACCCTGCAGTCCAGTCCTGCAACCACAACTCCATCGGGGTCTTTCAGTGGCTCCCAGGATGATAGCGATTCAGATATGACCTTCAGTGTCAACCAGTCCTCCTCGGCATCAGAGTCATCCTTGGGTAAGAAAATGTGGGCCTCAGTAGGCCGCAGGGCCTTCCCCACATCTGTTGCTTCCCTCTGTGTACTGTGCTGGAAGAGGAAAAGCTTCAGGTGCACCTCCCCGAGAGTAATGAGGGTGCCGGGTGGGGTGGGAGGGTAGGAGAAGGTGCCCAGCTGGGATGCTAGACCAAAACTGTGCTCTCTAAATCATTTCCTCCACCAATTTCTGGGTGGAAACACTGCATTCCTGGGGGTGCCCCAGCACAGGCCAACTGAGAACTACATATTAATGGATGTCATGTTCTCCCTTTGGGCAGTGACGGCCCCCAGCTCCCCGCTGAGTCCCCCGGTGTCCCCAGCATTCTCCCCACCAGAGCCAACGGGCAGCAAGAATGGCGAGTGTACAGTATGCTTCGACAGCGAGGTGGACACTGTCATCTACACATGCGGACATATGTGCCTGTGCCATGGCTGCGGCCTGCGGCTCAAGAGACAGGCACGGGCCTGCTGCCCCATCTGCCGGCGGCCCATCAAGGATGTCATCAAGATCTACAGGCCCTAGCCTGGCCCTCCAGCCAGCCTTCGCTGCAGCAAGGTCACCTTTCTGAAGCTCCCACTGGGCTGGGCACCACCATAGCCACCAGGGAGTCCAAGGGCAGCAGCCATCTCTCATCTGCCACTCTCCAATGGTGGGCAAGGTGTGACAGTTGTGGAGAGGAGGCCCGGGGGTCTGAGCCCAGGCAAGGTTGCTTCTGGCTCAAAAGTGCTTTGCCCCCAAAAGGCCATCCCAAGCAAGCTCAGGAACTGCCTGGTAGATGCCGCCCTTGGTGACCTGTAAGCTGGGAACCAGCACCCTCTGTCTGTGCAATGCTTCTTTCTGGGGTTGGGTTGTGTGTATTTGAGGGGGAGGGGGGTGGCCACACAGAGAGAGAATGTGAGAATGAATGAGAGAGCAGGGATGCGTAGGCGTTGTATGTAGGGATCCTAGCCCTAGGAGGTTATTTAACACTAAGAACTGTGCAATCCAGAGCCCAGGAGTTAGTGCAGCTAGAAACTGTTCATTTTCTGGGGGTGGGACAGAAGCTGGTTTTGAATGTTCATGGTCTGATCCTACATAGCACTCTCTTGGATGGTCTAGAAAAGAGACACTCAGATTTCCTAAGGGGAGGCAAAAATAGCTCACTGTTTACAGCTCCAAAGCAGCCGCTCCTGGTGGCAGGCAGGTGGGCGGAGAACATCGGGGACACTCACTCTTTGGTTCTTACTCAGTTTTAGAGGAGCATTTTTCATGGGTGCTAAGGTCGGGCATTCTGAGCTGTGGCATCTTTTCCCCCTTTGCCCCAGACAGAGGAATAGGCACAGTGCACCTTGGCTTAGTCCCTGGATGCTTTTGGCCTTGGTTAACACTCTCTCCTTCTCCAAGGAGAACCTTGGAGGAGGCATGCTTGTCCTGGGAAGGAGGACCCCAGGGGCAGAGGACTCAAATGGAACTTCGATACACCACCACAGAGTACAGATGGCTTTCTGTATTTTCCAAGGTGGCCCCTGGGCTAGCACTAATGGACCGAGGTATCCCCAGGGCCAGAAGCTACCTGCAGAAGCAGGAGGGAAACAGGCTTCATGATGGTCCTTGTGCCAGCTCTCGGCTCCTCTTTGCTTGCTGATTACTAAGGTGCGAACTGATGAGTACGTTAGCTGATCTTTAAGACTTTAACTGAGAGTGCTGACTTGGGGTTCCTTCCCTCCGGAGATCTGCTTGCTTGTACTTCCCCCAGGCCCTGTCCTGTAGGCCCTCTCTGCAGATCCCATTCTGCGAGATCTGAGCCTTCTTCTTTTCTGGCCCCACTCTGGGCTCCCCACTGTCCTGTTCCAAGCTATCCCTTGGGGGCAGTTCTTGGCCTCTCTGCTTTGGGTTCCTAATTAGAAGTCAAGTACCTGACTTCTCCAACAGCTCCTGGGAGGAGGGGCTCAGCGTTCTAAGAAGTCAGGGGGAGGTTAGCAAAGAGCAGTTAGCATTTGTCTTACAGTTATAATCTCTTATGTCTTGCAAGACAGGGAAAAAAAGAAAAGCAAAAATGTTCAGGGAAGTTTTGCATTCACTAAATCCCTTGCTGGGAGCCAGCCTAGGCTGGGACCTCCTGAGAAGCAGTCCCCAGAGACTGGTCCATGTCCCCCAGGATGCCTGCACCTGCCAAGCATGCCTTCTCTGCTAGGGCTGGTTCTGGGTTCTGACATGATCTTGACCTCAGAAATGCCGCTCTCTTGCCTGGCAAAAACCCCTGACCTCTGCCTTTCCCCCGGTGAATCTGGGGAAGATGGCTGGCCATATTGGAATTTTGCAGCAGAATCTCTTAGGAACTACTAGAACTCCAGTGTTTGGCATGGAAAGAGTTGAAGAATCAGGCAGGCCTCGGTGCCCGGCTCAGTTTGCTTAGCAGGACTCCACTTCCCTTTGCACCCAGAGGTGTGGGCAGAGCCATGCCTGGGCTCCACATGGGAGGGCTTTGTCAGGGAGCTGGTTCCCCAGCCATCTGGGCCCTCGTCGAATTGAGACAGTCATAGAGTTCAATGGCAGCAGTGGTCTGGGACAGCTGGCTGCCTCCTCCCTGCTCCTGCCCTTCCCCATGGACCCTTGGTTCCAGTAGAGGACACATAGAACCACCACCAGGAAAGCAGCCGCTGAGGGCTGGGCCCAGGGTGGACCAGGCATGCTCCTGGTGACCTGTTACCCAGGCAAAAAGGAGCCAGTGGCCTGCTCAACCTGCTCTGCAGCCACTACTAATAGCCTCCCTATGTCCTGGAAAGGGGGGGGGGGTGTCTAAAACCAGGCACTTCTGAATACTTTAGGGAACAAGCACATCTTGTACACTTTATCTGAAGTAGGGGGTGGGATAAGGAGGGAAAGGAACCAGGATGTCCTTTATTTACACCTACTATGTGCCTTGGCACTGAGCTAGAGGACACCTTCATGCATTAGTCCCAGGAAGCAAGTCTTAGTGCCATATCAAGCCACATTGAAGATGCCTCTGATTATGAGGCACCACGCTATGGACCACTAAGAAACCACTGCCAATCTCAACTAAGATGCCACAACCATTTAATCCCTTCCAATTGGAGGTATCCAAGTGTGAAAAACTGTGATTCTTAGAATCCAGAAAATAAGATATTCTCCGCACTTGGCAGGTGAGAGAATTGAGGTGCTGTGTGAAGTGACTTGAAGATCACATAACGGGGAGGACAGGACTGGGATTTAGGCCCAGGAACGTGTGGCACCAATCTCAGTCTCCCCACTGCTTGCCCCTGGGCCCCAGAAAGCTCCAGGCTGTCCGTGTTTTCTTCCTTAAAACTTGTGGCCAGAGCCTGGGCACCTGCACCTGTGGAAGTTCCAGGCTGCAGCCCTTCAGCTGCCCACACCCTGCAAGGACCAGTGTCCTCCTTTTATGGCTTGAGCGTTCACTGCCACTTTCTCCAGCCAAGCCGAGCTTGGGAGAACATGGCTCCAGCCCAAGGCCTTCTACCACACAGAGGTGCCCACGTGGGTGGCTTTGGCAATGGACCATAGCTATGTACAGGGTCCCCAGGCCCCCGGGGTCCCAGCCCATTGTGTACCCTTCAGGGCTGTAGCAGCCAGAGCTCCACAAGCAGGATGGGGGTGACCAGGAGATGCCACATTTGTCATGGTCTTGCCCTAGTCCACATGGAGCTGGCTGGAAAGCAGAGCTGCTTTCCAAGGCAAAGCAAGCACCCTTTTACAGTGCATTCCCAGAACAGGGAGTCTTGGGATTTAGCCACTCTGGGGCCGCTGCTCCCTGACCTGCCGCCCCATTTCTTCAGTCATTTGATAACTGAAGATCACAGGTATATTCCTGGCCACAGGGTTGAGAACCGAGACCAAAAACAGCCCGTAAGGAGCTCGTGGTCTGGAGGAGGTGATCAGATTGCAGCAGAAACTGATTATCAGTGTTCAGGGGATGGGACAACACCAGATACGCAGTCATTCAACCAACATTTGCTGAGTGCCCCCTTGGTTTAAGGTGTAGGGAATGGAGCAGCTAGCGCCATGCCCCAGGTCTAAAGCCAAGGCTAGCACACTAATAGGGTACCAAGATGCTAGGGGCAGGCTGCTTTAGGCTTTCTTGGCCGTTCTGTCGTCTCCTGTCCATCTAGATAAGTGCCCACTGACTGCCTTCCTGGCTGAGAATTCATGGCATGCTTTGCAGACTCTCCTCTGCTCTAGAAATGGGGGACCTCTGGGATTGTGGGCTGCTGCCAGATAACTTCAGGCAGAGCTCACAAAGCCCCCCACAAGCTCATGGTCACCTGCAGGTCCTTCCAGGAGGCACTGGGGAAATGCTACCTGCTACTTTGGGGCTCTGGGACTCCCTCCCAAGGCTGAGAGGCCCCCTAGGTCCACTCCAGCTGAGGATGTGCTTGTGCAAAGACCTGTTGAATGAGAGGCAGTAACCTCCCACTGCTGGATCCCATCAATGCCCCAGGCTGGCAGGGGGACACCAGCTCAGGGACACGTGGCCTCCTGGCATTTCTTGGTATTTAATTGTCTCACTGTCTTATCCGAGTCCCTAATGAAATGATTTGTACAACAATCTGTCTGTGCCTTATGAAAGTGTCTGTGCACTTTTTATCCTTTTTCAAAGCAACTTTTTAAAAGACAGGGGGACAAGCTGATGTGGTAGGGTTCTGGACACCTGTGGTTAATCACCAAAACCCTCTTGCGAAAGTGTCCACCCTCACTCCACTCCCCACAAGCTGTGTACAGATGTTTTTAAACATGTCTCTTATTTTTCTGATTCAATACTGTGACCTTTCCAATACAGTCTAATCTTTGGGCAACTGTAATAAAGGATTTAAAACTGGGGGGAGTGGGATGGGAAGGGTTTGCACTGGTCTTTGTGTATTGTGCTTTTATGTGTCGTGTTTTTTTTTTTTTTTTTTTTTTTTTTTTTTTTTTTTTTTTTTTTTTTTTTTTTTTTTTTTTGTCTGTTTTTATCTGTTTTATATTAACATAACTTTCCTGTTTAAAGAACAAGTACAACTTTGGCTTGTTAAAAAATAAAGTTTCTTCAGGATTCAATATTGAAAATTGCACCTGTGTTCAGTGGCGGGAATTGGACAGGAGGGACCCAAGTTGCCATAGCCTTCAGACAAGTTGCTCGCCGTCCGTGGAGCCCTGGCAATGCCTGGCTCTTTTGCCAAGTAACTCACTTCCACCTGAAGGGTGCAAGGAGGGCCGGGGATATGTCTCAGTGGTACAGAACCTGGCAAGCATGAGGTCCTGAGTTCGATTCTCAGCACCAAGTAGTTCCAAGGAAGTAATTGTAGCCAGTGGTAAGCTCTATGTGTGAAGATGGTTGCCACAACATTATAATGGTAGAAGGTGTGAACAGCCCTAATATTTAACAGGAAGCATATACTCACCAAAACTTTTAATCACTAGTGAGAGAAAACCATTTGGATGGGCTTGAGGAAAGAACAGACTCAGGTAGCCGGAAGGTCCAGTGGCAAAAAGCATTTCCAGTGCAGGTGAGCCCAGCATTTAAATCCGTGCTTTAGGAGCTTAGTTTCCTCCACTGCCCCCTTTTCTGGGCCCTGCTCTCAGGCAGGTTTTCAGGATAGCAGCCTGAATGTCCTGCCTTCTTCCTGCCTCTGGTCATCCTTGCTTGGACCAATTTGGATCACATGTCCCTTCCTGAATCCCTGATGCCAGAGAAATATGGGCTCTGGTCAGACCCAGGAGATGGTGGACTGAAGGTGCGCAGGGAACCTCGGAGCAATAGAAGATGCAGGCTGAAGAGGCAAACAGACATCTCTGTGGGGCCAGTAGTGTAATGCGGCTTTAGGCATGAAGACAGCCAGTGCGTGCTGTGGCATTGGGTTAGACTCCTGGCCCTTTTCTCCTCAGTCTCCGCATTTGCCCAGTGAGAGTCACAATAGCTCCCAATGTTAGGGCATGCACGAGCGTTGTTGACGTGCTGGCGGTGTGCTAGGTGTGGCATGCGACACTCAGCAGCAGTTGTTGGAACAGTTGGAAACAAGTTCAACTATGGGAAAAGCAAGAAATAAAACTGCGTACATTCTGATCCCATGGGTGTGAAAAAGCAATCAGTTACCCCAAACCTGACCGTGCAGTGGAAGACCAGCCACAGGATCCAAGCCATCCCGGGTGGTGTGTCTGTCTGGGTGATGGCTGTATGGATGATTTCCCTGTGTTTCCACATTTTCTGTAACAAGCAAGTATGACTATTCATTTAAACTTGTTGCTTGGGAGAAAAAAAAAAAAATGTCTCCCTACTCTGCAAAAACCGAAGAGAACAGCCGGCCCTTGCTGGAATTTGTCAGGAATTCCCAGGCTGGTTGCCTGCAGTTTAACATCCAAATCTAGTCATGGTGGAGATAAAGCCTGTAAATTTCCCATGAGGCCAGGCCGCGTTGACTAGTTTGGTTGGGCTTTCTCCCAGCCTTGAGGTGGTGTCAGGAGCGGGGAGGGAAGGAGAAGGTGCAGGAGTTGCCCACGCCTGCTCTTTCTGATGAGTGACAGCCCCGTGAGGCAATGCTGAATTCACAGCATTTCTCCAGCAGTAGAATCCATGGCGCTCACGTGTCTCACAGTGAGTCTTCCCAGCAATGTGCTCCACATTACACAGATGAAGGAACCAAGGTCCCTCCAAGGTAGGAACAGGACTGGCCCCCAGGTAAGCCTGCTCCAGAGTTGAGCAAAATCACTCAGAGACTCACCTTCCACTCTCCCTGGGGCCTTGGACAGGGGCAGAGATGCCTCAGTCTACCCACAGGCTTTCTTCTCCCCTCCCTGGTGTCTTTCTCATGATGTCATGTGCTTCTACTGGGCCAGGGGACATCACAGATGCCATCTAATAATTAGGACTATTTTTAAAATAAAGGAAAAATAACCATATTAATCTAGACTCATTGATTGTTAAGAGACTGAAACTCAAGAAGGTAGAATTTTTTGGTTGACTTGTACAACCAAACTTCTGGCTTCAGCAATGGCTGGATCCAGGTGTTCCCATGATATCATTGTGTATCTGCCTCTGTCCGTCAGTTCTGGTTTCTTCCAGGTTGTCACTTAGGCAGACTCTCCCTTTGTGGCATCCAAGATAGCCCCAGTATTTTTTGACTTACATCACACTAGCTTAGAAACCCTTTAAAGAACTTTCATGAAATCTCCCATGGTTGTCCGCCCTTTGACCCCACAGACCAAAAACCCAGTCCATAAGCCAATCTCCATCATATGCCCACAATGCACAAAATATAAAACCAGGTACAACACAGCCCTTGCTCTCAAGAGCCAGAAATCTGAGCTGGGCATGGTGCTGCACACCTGCAATCCCAGCACTGGGGTGGGGTGAGGGTTGAGGCAGGAGGATCAGTATGAGTTTACGGTCAACCTGCACTACATACTGCATAGGCCCTATCTATCTCAAACAAAACAAACAAAAACAGCCAACCAGCTTAAGGAAAGACAGATTCCTAAATAGAAATATTCAGGCCAACGAAGCTCCGAGGCTTAATGGAGCGATGTGACAAGCATGCTTCTTTCTCTTGACCACTTGAATTCCTATGAAGCCTGGCCATGCTCTCTGGCTATCCTGTTTCTCCTCTCAGGCTGCGGTGTCACAGCCTGCACTCTGCCCCTCGTCAGCCCCTGCCGCCTGAAGCTCAGCCAGCTTCCCAGGAGTTTGGCCACAGCACACACAGATTGCTTTTTCCTTCAGTCCCTGAGGGACTGCAGGCCAAACAGTCCTGCACAAAGATAATAACAGATCCTATACTGAGCATTTCCTATACAAGAAGGACACCAATCATGTCATTAAGTCCTTTCAACAGCTCTTTGATATAGGGTCCATCACTGCTTGCACTGGATAGGAGAGAAACCAAGGCTCGGGAGGCTCCATAAATCTATCCTGCTCTCTCTTGCCCCTCAGAGGATTTTTTCTCTGTTTGTAAGTGTTTCCGAGGATCTACATGCAGTGGTCTTCAGGGATCAATAAGCCTGGGATATCTGCACCTGGGATTCCACTGCCCCCCCTCAAGCAGGCTCTCAGCAGATGTCATCACCCCATTTTCTGATAAGTGAGGAGGGGCTCAGAGAGGGCAATGGCCTGCCTCGGGTCACAGAGCTTGTGCCGGGCCAGGGCTGGGAGTGGATCTGCTCTTTCATCTGTGAGCACAGCTTGTCTGGGAGGAGATCATCAGGAGAGAGGGAGAGAAAGATGGAGCAGGAAACAGAGAGAAAAGGGAAAATGAGAAGGATCCAGACACAGGCCCTAGCTGGGAGTCAGCCTGGGAGCGATGTCCACACTCTCCCTCTGGGATGGGAAGCCTTGCCTCTCTGCTCAGCTCTCCTGGGACTCTTGCTTTGGGATCCCACACAGGGATGTGGGAACCGTGAATATTCCGGGCATCCAGCAACGGGAACAGAACCCAGGCTTGGCTGTTAAATGGGCCCCAGGAAAAGCACACAGATGCCCAAGGGAGGCTGTGTCAATACTGAGTACCTCAGCAGCCGGTCCCCTTTCCTCAGCTGCCTCCTGTCCCGAAGCTGGCCTGCCTGGCTCTGAAGCTTTCTCCTCAGACTGGGAGCCCCAGCTCAGCTCCCACTTCTCCAAGGCTACTCTGGGGAGACCTCAGGAGCCCAGCGGAGCAGAGTCCAGCTCACATCCATGCTCCTCCCCAGCAAATCTGGTGACTTCCCTCTCCCTGGGGCCTCCTGAGGGTGCCCCCCAGGAGCAAACAACTGTGCCCCTGCAGCTGTGAGACCCTGAGGAGATCCCATGACAGAGCCTCACTCAGCTCAGTCTCAGCCCCCGTTGGACTTCTCAACTCAGAGCAGATACGTGAAGTCTAGACTGGTGGATGGCAGTTCCCTCTGACTGAGAGACAAACCTGGGGTCCAAGCCAGGCCTGGCTGGGGGGATCTTGGACAATTTGCTTGCCTTCTCTGAGCCTCCATTTCTGGACATTTGAGGAAGAAGAGTGTCAGCCACCTTACGGGTTATACCAGGTTGAGCTGTCAGGAAGTGGCAGTCATTTAGCAGGTACTGAATACAGAAGTCCTCTCCTTACACTCAGTTTCTCCTTCTGTGATTTCATTTATCTGTAGTTAAACTTGGCCCAAATATTAAGTAGAAAATTCTAAGGTGAACAATATTTTTGAAGCGTTTGTGGAGTGTGATGGATTCTCCCACCGTCCTGCTCTCTTCTACCTGGGATGTGGACCATCCCTCTGTACAGTGTATCCACACTGTATCCACTACCCAACTTCTGGTCATTTGGTAGCCATTGCAGTTATCAGACCGACTGTGATGGTTCCATGGTGCTTGTGTCCAAGTGACCCTTACTACTTCACAGTGGCCCCAAAGCACAAGGGGCAATGCAAAGGGGGTGCCAAGGCATGAATGGAGGGGAGGCAGATCAGCTCTGGTCCTATGTGGCTGCAATGCCTGGCATGTAGGAGAAAGCATACTCCTGTATAATATTGAGGGTTGAATGCTCTGAGGATTCAGCCACCTGAGGGGATCTTGGAGCAGATTCATCATGGCTAAAGAGGCTCTGGAGGGCTGGAGAGATGGCTCAGTGGAATAAGCACTTCCCTGGCAAGCGCAAGGGCCTGAGTTCAATCCCTGGTTCCAGCCAGAAAAAAAAAAAAGAAAGAAAAGTTCTTATGGGGCTGGTGAGATGGCTCAGTGGTCTAAAGCATCTACTTAGAACAAGCTTCGCAAAGCACAGGGACCACGGTTCAATCCCCCAGCACCACATGCCAGCCAGCCCGCCCCCTGGTGGGCTGAGCTGGCCACACACACACACACATATAAATAAATAAAATTAAAAAAAAAAAAT